GGAGACCCGGGGGGTGGGGAGCCGCGACGGCCTGAGGATCGTGGGTAGCCAGCCTGAGGCAGCTCTCGGAAGCCTCGCTGGGGCCTTGGTTCTGGACCCCGGGAACCTGGAAAAAGCGCTTTAGCTAATTAAACCCAGGGATGCTGAGAAACCTTGCTCTCCATCTAAAGTGCTAGAGACCTTGCTGTTTGTTAAATCATTTTGCCTGCGATGCTGAGCCGTGTCGATTTCCAACTGTAGTGCACAGATGAGGCGTTTTCGGACGCAACATTGCACCTTTGTTTTAAGCTTGTGCACCCTGAATCAGCTTCTCAGCCCAGTGTGATGTGAACCCCATGACACACAGCGCTGCTTTTCTTCGAGCCCATTCGAGGACTGCTTTATTTTATTTTACTCATTTATTTTAATTAGGATTCATGTCCAATGCGGGGCTTGACCTTAGGACCCTGAGATCAAGATTCCGTGGTTCCACCGACTGAGCCACCCAGGTGCTTCGAGCACTGCTTTATTTTAAATTTCACCTAAATTCCGTCCTTCTCCAAAATCTCGTCTAATCTTCTTCTTTCTCTGCCAGCTAGTAAGCCAGCTTTGTCGTGGATGGGTATGCGTTTGGTGGTCTTTATCAACTAGGCTTTATTAGTCGTTATAAACACCTTGCCTGAAGCTGAGCGACTTGTAATGTAAAATGTGTATATATATTTTTTTAAAAGGTAAATGCTGTAGCAGTGTTATTTGTACTTTATTTTTTGAACTCTTAACCTCACCTTCTCGCAACAAAACAAAACCAAATTTTACTTGGATTCCTTTTACTGTGGATATTGCTGCAGGCAGGCTTTATTTTTAATTAAAAACATTTTTTCACCCATTGCACATTAAAAATTACCCCGAGAGGTCCCAGTACTGATCGTGACTTACTTACAGCATTGTAAACAGCAAAACAGTTCTCCATTCCCACCCACTCAACTGCCTGTTGGTTATACTTAGGTTCTTAACTTCCTCTGCTTCATTTTTTTTTTTTTAGATAATAATAAAGTTTTAATCTTTTAGTCCCCAGGGTGATCGCATTATCAAAACGAGGGAAGGGAATTTTGGAGGGAAGGGACGCCTGGTAAAGAGATTAATAGGATAATCCTACAAAAGTATTTAATTACCCCACTCTCAGGCATTGTGAAAAGGAGTCAAGAGGGAATGGCGGTGAGCAGAGAGCTGGGATTGTAGAGTATTATAGATCTTACCCTCTCTGCAAAAACGCAGAGAACAGTACGACAAAGAGCATACATTGGACAGTATCAAAATCCTGAGATTAAGAAGGACTGGTTTCTCCTGTTGTTGGGGTTATAGGGAGGCAGAGAAAAACTTGCATTTACATTTCATATATTCAGTTGAGTCATATATGCTATTTTTTTTTTTTAGCTTATTATATAGCCCTTTCCCTTGTTTAGCTTTTACGTTGGGAGAAAGAGAATGAAGACCCAAACCCTTTTTTTTTTTGATTAGCTTTTGTTTTAGTTAAAGGGAGAGAATTAAGATCTAAAGTCTAGTTTTCCACTTACTGGGTGATGGTGGTCAGTTTTTCTCCTAATGTGGTCCAGGGCCTCTCGTATAGAAGCCATTTGGAGTTGCTTGCAAATGTGCAGATTACTGGGATGCTAACCCTAGATTTGCTGAATCAGAATCTAGGGGAACTACAGGACTAGGGAACTGCAGGTTGAGGTCCAGGAATGTGCATTTTTAACAAGTCTTTTGGGTGATGTAAGTAGTTTGAAACTACTGTTAGAATAGCAGCTCCTCAGGAACAAGTTGGTTTGTTGCTCAGCTTTGTATAAAATGCTTGGGCTGTGGAACATAGTTCAATGTATGTTGTATAAATAAATGAAAACCTCCAGCTATGGAACATATACAACCACTTATAAAATAACCTTACCTTTGTAGGTACTTGCAAAGAGCTTTCACATATGGTGACTGTTAGATCATATCTTAATTCCTAGTTTGGCTAAAAAAAAAAAAGATTTACCCTATCAATATTCTATATTCTTAGGCAATTAAAAAATCTCAATTCCATAAATTGTTCTTTTTTACAGTGCTTTTTTTCAGTTTCATCTCCATTTTGTGCTTTATCCAGTGGTGTCTTTAGTTCATTGTGTGGGGTAGAGATTGAAAACTAGGAATGTGGGACATATCAAATGCAAATAAGCATACAGTAACTTCAGGGTTTTATCCCTAGATCATTCCGACTGTGAGAATGAATTGGGAGTTTTTTTTTGTGGAGGTGGTATTAAGTTTGTGTCTGCTCATTCAGGTTTACATGTGTTTGTTATTGTTGAACTTAGGATGGCCCGCACTATGGAACCAGTGGCAAAGAAGATCTTTAAAGGAGTTTTAGTAGTTGAACTCTTGGGCGTTTTTGGAGCTTATTTTTTGTTTAATAAGATGAACACAAGCCAAGGTAATCCTAATTCAGAAGTTAATGTTTTCTAGAGGGGTGTGCCGTTTGCTAATGCATTGAGTTACTAAACAGCATTTTTAGAGAAATTGCTTCTTCAATATATTAGGCATTTTGGGTTGCTGGAGGGGAGGGGGGTCGGGGATGGGGTGGCTGTGTGATGGACATTGGGGAGGGTATGTGTTGTGGTGAGCGCTGTGTATTGTGTAAGACTGATGAATCACAGACCTGTACGCCTGAAACAAATAATACATTATATGTTAATAATATATATATATCAGGCATTTTTATGGACACAAGAAGAAACTTGGTGTTAATTATTGTGGACTTAATGACTCTTCTCCCTAAATAATGTTATTTGTAGACTAGGGAAAATGTTTCACACTTCAGTGGATTTTACTCATCTGGGGCATAGAGCAAGTATCTGGTCTGGCTTAATTTGGGAACACAGGTAAAGAAATTCAGCCTGCTGCTTATACCTCATTGTTTGGTAGACTAAGTAGTGGTGGCAGAGTGAGTTGGCAAGTAACCAGTTTCAAAGGCTATCAGAGTTCCTCCTCTGTTATCAGTAACTGGGCACTTAAAACCTTTCCCATGCCACTGTCACGGAGAGTGCTGTGACACATTCTGGAGGGAAATCTTATATTAGAGCCCTCAACTTTTAAAATGAGGAAGGGCTGTTTTCTCTTTCCCTGGAGCTGGTAATAGTAGTCCTGGGGGTGGTGGCCATCTTTGAGACTTGTCATTTATCCTCTTAAGGTTTTTCACTGGAACACTGTGCCCCAGGATGCTACTGGATGCTCACAAAGTCACTTCTGAAGTGTAAGGGTATAAAAGAAAACATCCAAACCGTATATAAAAGCAAATTCAAGTTTCTAATTCCGTAGCAAGGTAAAATGGAATCCGTAAAACTTGTTTTTACGGATTCCATTTTACCTTGCTACGGAATTAGAAGGAAGACTCTACCCGGTTTTTGAAGTTGATCTCAAACTTCATAGTTACATAAGGGAGTTACATATTAACACTGAAAACTTACTTTTCTCAATAAATTACATCATATATACAGGCCAAATTTTAAAAACTCCAAAGTAACTATGGGGGGCAACAGGCAAGGCAAGTGCAACTTACACACTGTGCAGGAGAGAGTCCCTGATTACCAGAAGGACCTTAACACACATTTCTCATCTGTAGGATTCCTAGCTCATAGACCCTAAAGCTAGCACTAAATTATGGCTCCATGTTTTAATACAATGAATGTCTAGTCATGTCTAATTTTAAGACTTCTTTTTTTCATCAGATTTCAGGCAAATAATGAGCAAGAAATTTCCCTTCATCTTGGAAGGTAGGTTTTTTTCCTTAAAAGTATAAAGTAAGTTTAAAATAAGTAATTTATGACCAATTAAGGGTTAAAGGACTTTTTACTTTGTGATGTCAATTTCCAAGAAAAATTACTGTTTATCCCTATTTTAGCTCTTTCTGAGAACACAGGGTGGCGAAAATTCTATTTTGGAGATGAGTAGTTACCAGTGGTTAAAAACTTTGGAATGAAACATCTGAGGTGGTGGTGACAAACCACAGCTTAAAACTTTGTGACCTCTGGTTTGCTAATCTCTTGGAGCTGTTTCTTTCTCTGTCCAGTAGCGGTAATAATGCCCCCCTTATGAGTTGTAACGATTAAAAAAGATGACATTATTAATCACTTAGTACAATAATCTGGTATAAAGTAATGCTTAATAGTGCTCATTACAATGATTAGTACAGATGTCAGAGAGCTTATACATGAAATATGTATCTATTATCTTTTTCATTTTACCATGTAGAAATAAGGAAAAGAGGTTTGATTTCTCTCAATATAGTTTAATTTTAACACTTTTACATGATTTTATAAATGACAGCTATATTTATTTATAGTTTATTACAAATCCATTGAACAGTCTGGAATGTATGGAGTCAGACAGCAAGATCAAGAAAAATGGTTGAATAGCAAAAATTAGGAGTAAGTACAATTTAATTTATAATTTATTTAGAAAACTCCTTTTCTTTGCTTTTTAATTTTTTGAGTGGTTTTTGGCCTCTTTTTGAAATTTTTCTTTTTCTTGATGATACTTTTCACATCTCTGTTGTGTAGCCAGTCATCACGTTCAGCCTCCCATCTAAGCTGTTTGAGACCTTTGTGGGGGAGAAGAAAGATGAGCACATCACATTGCAGACTCCTGGCCCCACAGAACAAAACAGGAACTTCTGGTCTGCCATGGCTCACAGTCATTTCCCATCCCCTGTGCAAATCCCCTGCTTTTGTTTGTTGCTTTCCTTTGGCATTTATTATTAAAGACTACTGTTTAACAAATAAAAGACTAGGAGAAGAAATGAACAAATGCTCTGAAGATTTTATTTCCCCTGAACACTTTCACTGGCAAAAGAACAGAAGCCAGTAACTATCAATATCAGAATTAAAATGTCTATAAAGTACTTACAAACTCACATTATATAAAAACAGCCTGCCTCCCTAAAAAAACTAAAGTAACTGTTTAATATAAAGACTGCAGTCTTTATTGCTGTAGTCTAAATGTTTTTTAATCCTCTACATGCTCCCAAAACAGATGAAAAAGCCATTCCTTCCAGGTTATAAGGAACCATTTTATTCATCCTTACTAAAATGGTCCTCCAAAAAATATTTACATCTTCAGAAGTTCTAAGTTAAGGCCATTTAAAAACCTCTGAAAAATTCAAGTTACTTGGGGTGCCTGGGTGGCTCAGTTGGTTCTTTCTGACTCTTGATTTTTTTTTTTTTTCTTTTTTTTCCGACTCTTGATTTAAGTTCGGGTCATGACCCCAAGATTGTGGGATGGAGCCCTGCCCCTGGCTCTGTGCTCAGCAGGGAATCTGTTGGAGATTCTCTCTCCCTCTGTGCCACCCCCCCCAATAAATAAATAAATCTTAAAAAAAAATTCAAGTTACTTACTTGCATTATCTTTGTTAGCCATGGCGTTTGTGCCAATGTTATCAAACTTGGATCCCATATTTTCATCTAATAGGTGGCCAAACTTAAACAGAGATACATTTATTAGAAAACTCAAAATAATGTGGAATAAGTAACTTCTTAAAGCAGTTTTTTAGTCTTACCTCCTCAGCAGATACAAATAGGTTGGAGTCACTGAAATTTCCTTTCTTTTTTTTTCTCGGTCCTAAAAAAAGTATAAGCCTAGATTATTAAATTGTAATCATTTCCAATGATTTTGGAAAAATACACTTTTTTTTTTTATCGGAGTATAGTTGACACACAATGTTAGTTTCAGGTGTACAACAGCGATTCAACAATCTTTCAACATGGTTTTGTTACAAAAAGGTTGCATTTGGGTTAAAATACAGAATTATAATTATCTTCTAGCACCATTAAGTAGCTGGCATTTAAAGACAAATAGAATTTATTTAAGAGTTAGTACCCTAATAAAATTGTCGAGATGACACCAGTGTCTTCCTAACTTTCAGATTTGGCCACTGATCAAGGTTTAACTGTTTTCCACAGTATCAGGCAAGACTGACTACAAAGTCGACCACGGTTGAATTTTGGAATCCTTAAGGCAAACTATATTCTATTTAAGTCAGAGGTTTTATTCTTTGGTCTAACTGTGAAGAAATTGATGGAAAGTATGTTTATTATGTTATAAATGAAATTTTGTTTTATACTTCTCAAAGTGGTTCTCCTGAACCTGTAATTCTGAACATATAAACATTTCAAAAGAAACTAAAACATCTATTTTTATTATTTATTATATTTTAATTCACACATTTAAAATCACATTATCTAAAAATATATTAACTAAAAATACTACTTTTATCCATTTTCGCTTTTCCTGGAACAGTGTTATTCAAATTCTTTGCATCTCCTAGGGCCATTTTTTAAAAACATCTTTAGTAGGGAGTAAAATTCATCATAAAATTCAGGTGTTTTTAAGGGTGTAATTCAGTATGTTTTAGTAAACTTAGTTGTTCAACTATCATCACATTGCAATTTTAGAACATTTCCATCAACTCCAAAAGACCCCTGGTGCCCATCTGCAGTCATGTGCCCTCACCCCAAGAGGGCTTTGCCTTTTCTGGCTAGTTCATGTAAGCAGGATCATATGATATGTGGTCTTCTGTATCTGGCTTCTTTCACTTAGCATAACATTTCTGAAGCTCATCCATCTTACAGCATGTATCAGAATCTCATTCCATTTTATTGCTAAATAATATTCCATTATCCATCAGTGAACGTCTGATTTTTGGGCTGTTCCCACTTTTTGGCTATTAATAACTGCTGCTACGAACAATCATGTAAAGCCTTTGCATGGATACCAGAGCCACTTTTGATAAATAGTTTCTAGAGCCTTTCATTTTAAATTTTGTGTATATTATTCAGGAACTGCATATGATGCTATTATGGAATATTTTCTCTTAAGCTAAAATTCCCATTTGTATAGCACCTGGAAAGGTTTTTTTTCAGTTTTCATTCATCTTATAGGTATATAACTGTAACATTAACTAGTAAGCACAGTTACTGCCTTCTTAAAATTGCCTTAAGGTTCATCCATAAGGCTATCCAACATTTGCAAATGTAGGGTGAACACTCTTCCCACCTCCAAAACTTATCAGTATTGGAAATTCCGTGGCCTCCTTTTGTTTTAATCAGTTCTGTCATGTATCCTTTAATCTGCATCCCAAACTACTGTCAGCTGAGACCTGACACCTTTCAGGCTACTGTCTTCTGAAACCGAAACAGCATCTTTTAATATGACAGGCTCAGGAGGACTTAAGAATAAAGCAACATTTCTTTTTGGAGATGATTTTAGGGAAAACTATCTTATATTTGAGAATATGCTATTATTAAAGTGTGACCGTACATCACTCAGTGGAAGACAGAATCTGAAAGATAACATGTTATAAGTTATGTATCAGGTAAATCATCTAAGAGGACTATCGTTGTATTTGAAAGAGCTTGTAAGTTTTGCAGGTATAAACGAGAGACTTTCAAAGCATGAAAAAAAAGCAAGCCTGTGAATTTATCACAGGTTTCAGGAATAAAATACTTATAATGCTTTCTATATTTTTATCAAAAAAGTTAAAAATGTCACCTGATATAGTACCTTTTTCTTTTATTAGCATCTTACAAGTGTTAACATTAAAAGGATAATCTCTTACAATACTTTAAAGATGATCTAGAGATAGTTAAATGAGAGAAAGGAAGTTATGAGGAAAAAATAATGTGGGAAACAACTTTCACATATTAAAAATAGAAGAAACTGTTGTTATTCATTATAAAAGTAAAAATGAAATTATTCTAACCAATTTAGAAAATTTCCCAAAATGATAATTAGTAACTTTTACACAGCCACTGCTTAGGTTTAAAAGACATTTTCTTACCTTGAAATGATCCAGCAAAGTCAAAATCATTTGCACCTTTTCTCTTGCTTCTCTTTGTCCCGATTTTAGAGCTGACTTCATCATCAAGTTCTATTTCCCCTGCCAAACAAAAACAAAAACATGCTATTAAGCAATTTAAAAACAACAGAACTGCTATAGGGCTAAGATAAATGATGAATATTTTGATTAACTTTGAGAAATAATTACTATTCTAACAACAACAAAAAAAGGGTAACTTAACAGCTCAACAGGTATTGTGCAAAGAGCCCAACTGTTGATTAAAATAGAAGCTCAAAAATCAACCTCTTTCAGTTCCAAATAAGTGGGGGGAAAAGGTCCTATTTAAATTTCTAGCCAACCTGAGTATTAATTTGAATACAAAGTAATACTTAAGAAATGCTTCAATAGGAAAACTAGCCTACACTGAGGAAAAAAGGAAAATACACTTTTTGCCTTGTATTTTAAAAATGCTTACTTGGAATGCCTTCCCTTTCATCATCCAACACGTCCATGAATGTTCCTCCATCTTCATCAATTTCAGTAAATTCTTCATTCATACTTCCTAAAGAAACTTCATCATCATCCAAGTTATCAAGGTCATCATCACTGCCTTCTGAATCTTCATCTTCTGGGTCTCCCTTAGCACCTTTTTTTTTCTTTTTCATGTTGCTGAAGAAAAACAACAACGTGTAGCAGAGAACATTGTTTTCTAAAGTGTTTTTTGGTGATTAGCCTAATACTAGGCTATTAACAAAGTTACAGACAGCCTAGAACCTCAATTTAATATACTAACATGTGTTATAAAGGTCTAAAATGAAAGTACTATATCCATTTCCCAAGCTTATTTCAATAAATTTCTACTACACATCAGAGTCCTGTATTCTGTTCTGAGGAAAACGTTTTGGGAAATGCTGAGAAAATAGTTTTTTAAAAAACAAGACTGTTTCTTTACCCAGCAAAATCAAGGTCATCCTTTCCAGAGGTGAAACAATTGTCATCTTCAAATGTGTCTGTCAGAGAATAATATACAAATTGTCAGATGTAGCAAGGAATAACAAAGTTGACAAGTCTTCTATCTGAACGAATTAACATAGTCATTCTGCTGTTTATGATAAGTAAACACCAAAATGACATAATCGGACTACTGGTATGTTTTATTAATCTACATAAGCCTGTGAATATACTGACCTTAATTAAATCCGCAAACTAAAATGGATTCCAGTTAATTTGTTTCTTTCTACAATTCTTTGATGGAAAGAGGGTAAATATCAAAATGGTATTTAGCAATTGCAATCCTTTTAAGTGCTTATTTTTAGCATCCTTTAATCTGCCTTCTTAAAGTTGCCTTAAGGTTTATCCATAAGGTTATCCAACATTTGCAAATGTAGGGTGAACACTCTTCCCACCTCCAAAACTTACCAGTGTTGGAAATACTACAATGTGCAAAAAAAGCAAAAAAACCCCACTTTTCTAATTTCCCCTTTTTTGTTTCAGCCTAAATATAGATTAAAATTTTTGTAGCTCTGTGCATCACAGAGGAAACAGATGAAACAGCAGACTACTGCTACCAATAGTGCAAGGAAATTAGGAACAATAAAAATGGTTTCTCTTCTGTAAGAGACTGGATGAGTATATTCCTTCAGAATGAATATACGCCACGTAAATACAAATTTATTTTTCCCACGAACTGCCCACGCATAATCCTAAATCTCTGGAGCAAGTGAGGGTGACCTACCACGTGCCACCAAAATATTTTTTAATCCTCCATTGTCATGTGCATGGTATTCTTAGCTAAATGATTTTCTAAAACTAAGATCACCCCTACCACTAATATTCCATGGTTCTATAAGTAAATAGAAAGATTATTTTACAAATTAAACAGTCAACAAAAACAAATTACCAATCATCTTTTCAAACTCCTCATCATCCACATCTTCTATACTTTCTTCATCTGCATTCCGTTTTTGTTTCTCTTTAACAATTGCAACTTTTTTATAATACCTGAAAAAAATGCATGTTATGTATTTGATTATTTTAAGATTTTATTTATTTATCTGACAGAGACATAGCGAGAGCAGGAACACAAGCAGGGGGAGTGGGAGAGGGAGAAGCAGGCTTCCTGCAGAGCAGGAAGCCCGATGTGGGACTCGATCCCAGGACCCTGGGATCATGACCTGAGCCGAAGGCAGACGCTTCTTAACAACTGAGCCACCCAGGCGCCCTATTTTTTAAGATTTTATTTCTTAAGAGAGACAGCATGCATGCATGTGCATGCATGAGGTGGGGGGGTAGAGGGAGAGAGAGAATCTCCAGCAGACTCCTTGCTGAGCATGGAACCTGATGCAGGGCTCAGTCTTACAACCCGAAGATCATGACTTGAGCAGAAACCAAGAGTAAGACACTCAACTGACTGAGCCACCCAGGTGCCCCTACTTAATAATTGTATTAAAGGGCCCACTTTGCTATAATCAAAGCACCTATGACCAGTGACACAAGTGTAAAAAGTTGGATATAAATGACTAAAATTTGTATTTATTATAAACAAGAGTTTTGAATTAAAATAGCAACTTCTGAACATGAAGGAAAATAAATTTCAAAGATTCAGGATTTAGTTTTTCATAAAAACACCTCAACTCATCTTAATTAAATGACATAGTAAAAGGTTTAGTGTCAACACTAATGATGTGTTAGAAATAAGACAAAATGTGGCTCTAGATAACATCTAATCACAGTATTTTATCAGTTAGATCCATTCTAATACTAGGGTAGAGTGAAACTTAGCATTCTGCAGATGGGATCATACCCTCAAAATTCTTCACACAAAATATTTAAAAAAAAACAAACCCAAATCAAACAGAATCAACCAATCAGATAACAGTAAGAATACTAGTAAGTTTAGGACTTCTCTGTGTAACAGCCCAGTGAATTTTGCTAATTCTGCCTAGAGTCGTATTTTGGACAAATTACTCATGAGTTGCTTATCATTATGTTAGACTGATAACAGATTTAAAGGCTGTAAGACAATTACTTTATTACAAAAAGTAAGAAATTAAAGATTAGGTTTTACAAAGTCAAGAGTCATAAAATTTAAGCTACATTATTAAAAATACCCACAAATTTACTTGTTTTAAGTTTCACTTAGATATGTTAAGATTAGCAAACGGAATGATTTATAAATTCCTTTTGCAAAAAAATGAGAGGACACATTTTTTTTAAAGCTTTTATTTATTTATTTGAGAGAGAGCAAGTGAGCACAAGCGGGGTGGTGGCGGGGAGAGGGGGCAATGGGCAAAGGGAGGAGGAGAAGCAGACTCTCCAGTGAGCAGGGAGCCCAATGTGGGGCTCAATCCCAGGACCCTGAGATTATGACCTGAGCTGAAGGCAGCCCCTTAACCAACTGAGCCACCCAGGCACCCCAACTGACATATCTTTAGATCTTTTCAAGACAGACCTATGTTAATGAAGCATTTTATGGAATCTAAAAAATTTATAATCTTTTTTTCTAAAAATTTAAATTTTAATAGTTCTCCAAAAGAAACTGCATTAAGTGTATTACCTGTAGAAAAATAGTTCATCCACTGGTATTTGGCTTTCTTCTTTTGCAAGGAACTCCTTACTGTTCACTAAGAAAATAGATTAAGAAAATATTTTTATTAAAGTAATCCTTTTTATGTTATTCAAGCTCGTAAGACTACATACAGCATACCTATAATTCTAAAGTCTTAAAATGTAAGGAATGTGGACAGAAGGGATCTTCTAGTGCAAAGGACAATCTCTGGGAAAGTCTGAGTGCAGAAGACCAAACATTTGAAACTGTTCATTGGCTACAATGACATACGTAGCCATCAGTGCATGCATCACAGTGAAAGAACATGGTTTTCATTGTCCTCCAACTGTATCCAGGACCCCAATTTTAAGAGAAAGAGTTCTCTTAATAATCACTTTAAACTTTTCATCATCTTGGGGAAAAAGCAGGAACTCCTGCCATTCTGGAACAGGAAGTAAAGTTAAACAGAATTATCCACAATTTTACTTAATACTGATGAAAATTAAGGAACAAGACCAACGAACTACAAGAATATTAGTTTTCTCTCTTCACAATAAAAATTTCTAACTCATCTTGATTAAAACTGGATTTGGCTTCTAAGTTCTAACTCTTATTAACTTTGGGGGAGTCCATTTACATCTCTGGACCTCTGTGAAATAAATCAGTTGGAAATTAAATGATTAATAAAGTACAAATTAACCCTAGTCTCTGAATGAAAAGGAGCTGTGATTTATTATATAAAGAAATGTTTGTTCTGAATATAGAAACAAGAGTCAGATATACAAGATGGGTACACAGTACCCATAAAAAGTTATCAACTAATTTAAAATGATGCTCTGTGACAAAAACTAGTTGTGGGTTTTCTGCTGAACCCATATTAGAGAGCTTAAGATGGTCTTTAACTATAGGGGTGTCTGGGTGGCTCAGTTGGTTGAGCATCTGACTGTTGGGTTTCGGCTCAGGTTGTGATCTCAGGATCGTGGGATCAAGCCCTTCATCAGGCTCCCTGCTCCAGGGAACCTGCTTGAGATTCTCTCCCTCTGCCCCTCCCCCTGCTCACACACTCTCCCTCTCAAAAAAAAAAACATGGTCTTTAACTATAAAAGATAGTAATATATATGGGGGGGTCACTAATAGAGCTATAGATGATACAAAAATGGCAAAATGTTGCTAATTGTTGAAGCTGGGTTATACTTACAGGGGAGTTGTTATACTATCTGTATATTTATTTTGGATATGTTTGAAATTTTCTGTAATAAAGTTAAAAAAATAAAAGACCCAGTAAGACATAGTAAACTTAAGAATGCATACACATTTTTGGGAACGAAAGATGGATAATGTCTCTGGTGCTTAGGTTTATTCTGGTAAAATGGAGCAAATAATATAATTTATGTTATTGACTTGTACTATTCTTGTCAGTTTCAACCGTCTAGGCTTTATACTTACCAGGAAGACTACGAATATCCTTCATAAAATGTTTTCTTTTTGGCTGCATCACAATGCTATCTGTGTTTTCTGAAATGTAAAAATCAAGATAGTGTAATATAAAACCTAGTTGTATGCTTATTAAATGTCAACAGTGAAAACCAAATACTTAAATAGAAGCATACCTTTGCCTTTATGTGGCTTTGGATTTCTGTATACAAATCGATCTAAGAATCTCATTAATGTGAAATCTTGGAGTGGGTCCCCTGAATACTGAATACAGTTTCCCTGAAAGGTGGAGGGGGTGGGAGGATTAAGAACTTAACGCAAATTATATATATGCATCCAGATAAGAAAACAAACAGAACACCATCTACTACAATGCATCAAAGGCACATATATGCCATAAATGACCCTTCAAATATCCATCTCATCCCTCTTTACTTGAAGATTTAAACAGTCATACACATAAATACATATTTTATGATACACTGTTGATTTTATGAATAGGTAAACAATAGTAATACTGTAGGTCATCTATTAACCAGGAACCAAACACTGATGTGGCCAACACAGCAAATGGGAAAGGGGAGGGCAGTCTTTCTTCAGGAGAAAAACCAGAATGTAATAAATAACTGTTGCAGTTTTCTAATATCCTGTATTTCTATTCACCACACAGTGGGAAGAATTACTTGCCGTACTGTATTAAACAAGTCATTGGTCCTTTCCAACAGCAGAACATGTTTATGATTCTATGTTGTAGACAGAAAACACTGTTATGACCAATTATTGATTATCTAAAACTAGATTACTTTTTCTTATTTCTTGACTTTAGAATATTAGACTTACCTCAAGGATAGTCTTTGCAAAAAGAGCCACAGAGGGATGAAAATGCTCAGATAGCTTAAAAAAAAAAAAGGTGAGGAAAGTCATCTCTTACTACAGTTGTAGATCCACAGAATTGAAACTTAAGCCAATACATCAGAGAAGAGTGATTCTCAAAATTTTGGTCTCAGGACTGTTTTATACATTTAAAAGTCAAGGACTTCAAGAGCTTCCTTAGTTTAAGTGGGATATATCTATTGATATTTACCTTATTAGAAATTACAACAGAAATTTTAAGTTTTTATTTAAGTAATCTCTACACCTACCATGGGGCTTAAACTCATGACCGCACGGGCAAGAGTCGCATGCTCTTCCGACTGAGCCAGCCAGGCGCCCACAATAGGAAATTCTGAAACATTTATAGTCAATTTAAAATAACAATGAGCCTATTATATATTAATATAAATGTTTTATGAAAAGTAACTTTTTCAGAACAAATAAGCATTAGTGAAGAGTAGGATTATTTCAGTTTTGTAAATCTATTTAATGTCTGGCTTAATAGAAGACAGTGGATTCTCATACGTGCTTCTGTATTCCATGTCATTTTTTAGTTGGAAGTATATGAAGACAATCTTGCCTCACACAGATATATAGTTGGAAATAGGAGGGTTAACTGATAACCTTTCACATAATTGTGGATTATCTTTGATACTACACCCAAACTGAAGATTAGTTGCAATATGGAATTTGGAACCGTATCAATCAGCTTTTGGTACTTGCTACTTAAAATTAATCAGTCTACTTTGAATAGATCTTTTAACCATGACTTTGTAACACTGTGCATTTAGTCATTTGGAAAATACTGATTCAGTAAGTTATGTAGTTCTTCCATATGTTGGTTACATTATCACAAAAATCACATTGTTAGTATCACCACTGATTTTATCAGAAAAGTTTTTACATATTGAGAAAGTGTCCAGTTCAAGGTAGTGTTTACAGGATTTCCAAGCTTTTAATTTGGTTAAAAGCTTGAATTTTATCACTGACAGCAAATATTGTCAGCGGTTTTGCTTGAAATAACAGATTCACTTCATTCACTCAAGAAAATGTCTCCCAAATACCAAATCTGAATAACCAGTCTATCAACCAGTCTTTTATGAAAAAGGCAGCCGAGTTTACAAGAAACTACACAGGTACTTTTCCCAAGACACGAGACAACCTCATACTTAGGTATGCAGCAGAAGTATGTTATGAATTCCTTCTGTATATGTACACAGACTATGAAAAAGACATGTACTTTAGGATCCAGATAATCACTAATTTTTCCTGTTTCATCATTCTTATGTGATACTGGCTTTTTTCCCTGAAGGTCCATGGCGGTGAAGAATATAATGGCTCCTACCCTTATCTGCGCTGAGGCACTAGCAGTTTTAGCCAGCATTTCTTTAGTATCATCAGTGCCACTGTTAAGAGAGTGACAAAGGCAAGTAACGTGCCTTGGTAGCACTACGAAAGTAGCTGTGACCTTGCAGACTCACTGAAAAGGTGTCAAGGGGCCCACAGGAGTCTGTGAGGTAAGACACTTACTTGCTTTTCCAAAGATACCATAGAAAGTTTACTGGGAATATGGGTTCCTCTAATGCATTTAAAAAGTTATTTTATTTGCAAATAGTTCTATCATCACAAAACTTCTCAGGGAGATCTAATGCATAAAGCAAAATTTACCCATTTTACAGAACCATTATATGCAGTAATTTACCTACAAAAAGCAAAATTTATTTATAGCCATGTATAACATCCTGATTTTGCATCCACATTATTTAAGATTTGCTACATGTGAATGTAGAAATGTATAAATGTGTAAATTTAATGTTTATCAGAGGCTACAGAAATACAGGTTATAAAGCATTAGAGCTGGCTGGGTGACATGCTTCAAATTGCTCCCTTATGCCAATTAACTAATGTCTAAAACTAAACTATATTGATCATTTACGAGCCAAATGGAAACTTCAAGCTGTTAAATCCATGAGGGCAAATATAAAGCACTAATAAAATTACTTTACCTTTTTGAGTTCCCAAAGACTTGTATTTTCAGCTCCACAGAACAAAGGGTTTCTACTGAATGGATCGTATGTGTTTAACTGTTTGCCACCTGAGAACAACAACAAAAAAACTAATTCTCAAATGCTTTATTCCTAGCCCAAGAGTTCACTAAAACCACCACCATTAATGTTGTCACCAATAACTGTAATATGTATGCATACGTAATAGAATTGTAATTTTCAACATTCTTAGTTAGCCAGGTATCCTACCTAGATTAAACATCCCAAGCCCCAACAAGAATTAGATATGGTACCCAGGATAGCATTTGCTACTGAATAAACCAGGCAGCAAAAGGTGCCCAAATCTGGGTCGACTGGGTTAGAAGGGTTAAAATGGCAACTAGCCTGAAGATTAAATAGGTCTAAATTCTTTTGGAACTTTAAGTGCACTGAATATTTGTTATTAAATTATGTCCAGGAATAATTCTCACTTGGAACAAGTTTTATGTTATCTTCAAAGAACTTTCAGAACACATTACAACAAACTGTCTACTTCACAATGCACATGTTCATCGTCCTTCTAAAGGATTATTCTCAGTTTAGCCTTCAGTGAAATTGATGGATTCTTTTAAACACTTTCCTGGTTGCTTCCACACTTCTCTTTTATACTTCACAGGCAAACTGAAGTTTGGGGAGATGAAATAAGTTGACCAAGAGTTCCACGACAAGTTTGAAGAAATGGGTCTGGCACATTTCTTGATCCCCAAGGTTTAGTGTGTTTTTCTTTACAGCTCAAATGAAGAGGTTGCATTTCCAAAAGGTATCTGCTTTAATTTCTAAGATCAAAATTACTTTAAAATGTGTTACTATCTGTAGTATTATTAATAAGTAGACAAGTGCTTCACTGTATTAAAAATTTACTTCTAAAAAAAAAATTTACTTCTAAGTTCCTGAATATATCTGGTTATAAAAGCTCTACTTAACAAAAAAAGAATACAGAGGATTTCTAAAATGGTATAGTGTTAATTTCTATTAAGATCAAAGCAGGGGGCCCCTGGCTGGCTCAGTCGGTAGAGCATGCAACTTTTGATCTTGGGGTTGTGAGTACAAGCCCCACATTGGGTGCATATTACTTAAAAAAAAAAAAATTAAATCTTTAAAAAAAAAAAGATCAAAGGAGAATCCAATTCCTGTTTAAAAGTTCAAGAGAACAATGTAAAGATTTAAGAAACTCACCTTTCAAGTTATCAAAGTGCACCCAAGAAGCAGACTCTGATTTTTTTGTTTCCTTAGGACTGTCAGACACAGTTTCTTCTGTCTCAGCTTTTTTTACTATATCTGTTTCTTTATCTGCATCAGTGAATTTTTCTATGTCTTCATCATCTCCTATGTCGATAAAATTCTCTTCATCAGACTCCTAAAACAATGGTTTAATAAATCTGCATTAATCAACTGGAAGTCTGTATTCAGTTATGTGAGGGAGTTTTGAAGATGACCCTCTTATTGCTATAACGGTAAAACATGAAAATTCCATCAATCAAATTTATGAGACACCATATTCTTTTTTCTAAATGTAAGAATTAAGTTGAGCCACAACTCCCTGAGACTTTGGGACTTTTTTACATGAAAACATTCAGCCCTCAAATTTCTGATGTGTTATAAATAACCCTATGAAGTAGGTGCTACTATGTCCATTTCACAACTGAGGAAACAGGTTTAAGAGATCCACTAGCTCTGTAACTGTAACTACCTCATACAATTACGGTTTAGTATAGTACAGTTTACAATGAATGAGTAAAGGGATCAAGCAACATGCCCACCCAGGAAAACTGTACACCTGGGACTAAAATTCACGTCTGTCCAACTCCAGGACTCACACATGTTCATGCTCCAGAGAACTAAGTAAGTTACTGTCATTGAAGCTAAGAAGAAAAATACCAATATATTTCAGAACCCACTCGATTTAAAAAGCAGTTGTAAGATATACCGGATGATCGTCTAGTTGACTTCTTAAACCTGGTTTTGCTTTAAGGATCTCAGACACAAGGTATAAAGCTCCACATATGAATGGTGGCATCTGTTCACAAGTAACTTGGAGTAACCTCTTCACAAAAGCCTTCACCCTGCGCAACACGATGTCAGCTTTCAAAGATTTGTAGATAAGATTAAGAAACATAGCTTGCTTAGAACACATCATCAATCCTGGATCCAACATCTTCCTATAAAACAAAAACAAGATCAAATGTTTATTCATAAAATATCTCTACAACCAGTAGTAGAGGCAACTGCTAACCTCATCTTAGGGATAACCTTCCTGTTTATTTTAGATCAAGAGACCTAAGACGTAAAATGGAAGTCAATGACCCAAACAGAAAGAATGATAATCTTGGGGGAGGGTAGGAATATCAACAGGAGAAAGACATTTTTTGTGTTTTCTCTTTTCTAAGGGGTTTTTCATTCTCTAGGATAACAGCATAATTTTTATACAGATACAGAACCTCACACGAAAGGCTAATCCAAAACCAGATAATGAAAGCTGACCTATGAAAGCAGTGGACTAGACCGGTGTTCTTATCCTTGTATCACTACCCCCTAGCTGGGGGACCAGAGGCCTCCACATGATTCTAATGAACACACGTAGAGTAGAAAATTGAACACGGTAATTTTAAAATTTTCTCTTTATCCTAGCTGCTAAATCCTAGAGATGCTCCAACTGCTCTTGCCCTCCAGACATTAGAATATCCAGCATTAACACAATCCTCTGTGTATGCTCATGTGCAATATTACTTCTTATTCTAAGCATTTCTATTAACTTTTTTCCATTAATATTAGAAATGGAAATATCTGACCCTGTGAAGCATTTTCATATTGCTCTTTCCCCCATTTGTTACTTCCATAATTCTGGTGATATTGAGATATCCTATATTATTCAATATTTTTTTTTTTTTTAAAGATTTTATTTATGGGTTAACATACACATGAACTCAGTAAAGTGCCAGTTTTCTCATTTTTTAGCTATGTAACCTTGGGAAGTTTTATAATTGTAACAATAACCTACAGGATAGGTGCACTCCTCTTCATTTTATAGACAAACTGGGCCACAGTAAAATGGGATTAATCGTGTTTACCAATAGGGCTTTAAAGAGGATTCAGTAATTTGTCCAAAGTTACACAGCAAACTAATTGCTGGGACTCAAATCCAGGCACTGTGGCTTAAGTTCAAGATATTAATCAGTACATTGTATTTCTCACAAGATACATGTTATGTAAAATTATTAAAATGAATTAAAGGAATATATAGCTTGTTGGTATACTTAAACAGTTCCAAAGTGTTTACACACTGTTCAAAATATCATCCCTCAATAAGTATGTCAGGACAACAGCAAAATTCAATGAACAAAATCTTAATCCCAATTAAAAAAATTCCAAAAATGCAACCCTAACCCTCCCTAACAGACTTTCGTTTACCATTTGTTTTCCTCAATATGAGTGTAAGCAACTCTAGGGGTGGGAATTTTGTTCAGTGCTATATCCAAAGCACCTGGAAATGTCCAGCATGTAGATGGCACTCAAAAAATTGCTGTTGAATGGATTACTAAATGGCTGTGTGAAGGACAGGGGGAGGAAATATAGGACTGAGGATGTGAGTGAGGGGGAAGGGACTGAAGGAAACTTCAATTATATCTGCAGTTCTAATTTTTTAATATTCGAAAGACTTAGAACATATAGCAGAATGTTAAGGTTGAAATATTAGGTGGTAGGATATGGATGTTTTGGGGGAGGGTATTTTTCTGTATTTTAGCAAGTTCTCAAAACAAAAAATAAAATAATGTATGCAAAATATTTAACATAGTTTTCCAAGAGGAAAACAAAGATTAGTGACTTACTCAAAGTTGGTGATTAGCAAGTTGCTGAGGGGGGCCTAAAATCCAGTTTTCTAAGTTTCTTGCCCCATAGAGGGGCACAGTAAGTGCTGTGTATTAAATCACATTATTAAATCATGTTATTCCTCATTCACCTATTGAAATGGAATGTACTTACCTATATAATGCTGCATAGTATCGATCTGATATCGTCTGCTGAGAATTCATTACTTGGAAAAGCAACATTAAAGCCTGTACGCTGGTATTAAAATTCACAGCATGCAACACTTTAAAGAGCGTGTCGACCTGCTCCCTCACTTTGTCATCACCAGTCTGGGCATAAGGGTATGCCCTATTTACTCCTGTTAAAAGGGCACTAAGCATTTTTGATTCAATATCTTTTTTCTTGATACAAGTCCGGAAAAAACAAAAATAAAGAGTAATTAACTTATTAGCTAATTCACTTTCTTCATGGGAAAGGACCATTTGATTTAAAAAGCAAACTGCATAATATTGCGCTTTGGAGCTGATATTTGAGCGAAAGAGCAGCCTTTCTACTTCGCCACATACAACTCCTTTCATATTGGGATGTTTACAAAGCAATGTCTCTAACAGATGGGAGGCCTTGGTGGCTATTCTGTTCTGAGGATCTCCCAGTTTATTTACCACCTGCACAAGAAGAGCCTTTTCTTCCTCAGGTTTGTTACAAAGAAGCTCATGAGCTACAACAAGAGCTCGAGTTTTAGTGGCTACTAATGAATCATGACTTAAAGTTTCTAAGACCTGCACAAATTCAGCCACAAGGTGTTTCAGCTGGTGTTCAAAATACCATAATATCAGCCTTCTATCTCTCGAGTCCTTGTTGCCACTGGACAACTGTTCTAGTTTGTTGAAGGGATGCTGGCTGAAAATCCATAGCTTCCGACTGTCTGGCAAAAGGTCTGTAATGAGTAATTCTTTGAAAGTATCCAAAGCCATGAGGCACTGCTGTTTGCTACCCTTCTTTTTAACAAGGTTCACAAGAGTTTCTACAAACTGCAGTGTGTGAACAGCATCATCCTGAATAAGAAGAATCATGGCTGCCATCCTGTCACCTAGCGTCCCTGATGACACAATTGTCTTCATCCAGGTGGAAGAAGCTCCCTTTTGGTTATTTGTCTTATTTTTGAATAAGTTGATTTCATGCTCATACAATTTCTGAGCCAAGGTTTTGTACTTAGACACAACATCCTGAGGCTGGGGTTCCAAAGAATATTCATTGCTGTACTCCAGATCATACCATTTGCCTCCAGGCTTGAGTAACAATGTCTGTCTCTCAAAAAATTCAAAGATGTCCTGTTGTTTATCTTTCTTAACTTTTGGTGTGACACTATTGTTCTCATCAGAATGTTGTTCTGGCTTCTTATTTTTCACCTTACCGAGTGATGTCCTTTCACTTTCTGCTGCATTTTGCTTTTTATTATCTACTTTAGATACTCTTGCTTCTTTTTTGCTGGCATTTTCTTTTTCAGCTGGTTCATCTTCTTCAACTAAGAAAGCTTTTGCATACTTGGCCAAACTAAGATTTTGAATAAATGCTTCCAATTCACCTTGTTGAAGGTCATCGATTGCTCCTTTTTTGCCTCCATCCACCACTTCCTCATTTTCATCCAAAGTAGCCAGCATAAGGTAATCTTGCTGCATTAAAACATAAGAAAGTTAAAAAATAAATTACAAATACAAAGTTTAGAAAAACTTCCAAAGTTAATTTGAAATTTAGTATGTTTAAAAATCAATTAAATTCAATTATCATGGTATTGTCTGGGCTTCCACCCTACAACCAAGTAAATACTTGATGAATCAAAGATTTACATGTGAAAAAAAAAGTTGTAATAGAAGAATGCACACCATAATTAAAATAATTTCAGAGTAGAGAAAACCTTTCCAAATGACATTAAACGCAGGCCCCTAAAGGCAAAGATGGGTAAAACTGTCATTCTCTCAGACAAAAAACATACAAAAGTCAAAAGACAAATAAATTAGAAAAAAAAATACTGGCAACTGATATCAGAGTAATTGGGCTTAATATTTAATGTAAAAGTTCCTACACATCAGTTAAGGAAGTGATAACTGAAAGATCTGCAAAGGATATAAACAAATGGTTCATAAGGGGAAAGTGGCTTTTAAAAAATGTGAAAAGATGCTCAACTTCACTGACATTAAGAAAAATCCAAATTAAAACCACCATGATGCATCCATTTTCTAATCTGTCAGATGAGAAAGATAAAATTGTGACAGGTGGTGTTGGGGAGATGGTAGGAGGAAAAGGCACTTTCCTACATGACTGATGGAAATGTAAACTAGCACAACCTCTATGGAGGGCAACTTGCTACCTTCAAATCAAAATACAAGACACACATCCTTTGATCCAGCAGTTCCATTTCTATCAATTTAGATTACATATATGTTCACAAATGTGGGAAAAGATCTATTTTAAAGGTTATTTACTGAAGCATTATTTAAAATAGCAAAGACTGACAACCTAAACATCCACAATAAATGGCTGGTTAGATTAAAACAATGATTTATGCAGGCATTAAACCAATGACCCAACTTTATATAATGATATGGAAGAATCTATAGGACAGCAAGAAAAAATATATACACAATATTATACAGTATATTACCTTTTGTGTAAAAAATAACGTGTGTGTTTGAAGATATAAAAGACATAAAAATACTTGCTTTGGCTAGTAATCGCATGGTTAGAGATAAAAGTGGGAAAGAAGACTTTTCACCAAGTACTCCTCCTTTTTAAAATAACTTTTTGTAGCACGTGAAATACTACCTATTCAAAAATTAAATACAACACAAGTACAGAGCAAACTGTGAATCTGCCCCATAAATTGAATTTCTCCTGCCCCTACCTCTCCCCACCGATAGTCACAAAACATGTGCTAAAAAAGCTAAATTCCATCACGTATTTGCTCCAAATCTTCTAAGGTTTTGCATCAAACTCAGAGAAAGGCCTATATTCTTACCTCTCTGAGCTCATTTCTTATTACTCTCCCCTTACCTCACTGCCTCAGCTACACTGACGTTTTTGTTGCTCACAGAACAGCGTGGCTCCTTTCTTTCCTACAGTTTTCTTCTCAAACATCTCAATGATGAGTTCCCCGATCACCTCATTTAAAACTGCTACGCCCTTCCCACTGATTATCTTTTCTTCTTCTTCTCCGTGGCACTACTCAGCATCTGATATACAATATTCAAAAGTTTGGTTACTGATTCTTTCCCTTAATTAGGATGTAAATTCCGAGAGCAGAGGGCTTCTAGAGCGTAAACATGTGCGTATACTCCGTGAGAACAGAAGTTAACATTCCAACAGCACTGAAGTTCAGAACACTGATGCCACGACGTCAGGACCCCAAAAGGTCAGTCTTCACCGACCTGATGGAGTGCCAGTTATAGATCAGTGAAATGAGAGGGTCACCTACATCCTAAGAAAGGCCACACCGCAAAAACGTTCAATTCCAAAGGACTCTTCTCTTGTAAAAAGCTGTGGAAAAGAAGTGCGGGAAGCGCACAGCGCACATTTCGAAGCTGGGATCTGGATGCAGAACGCCCTCCCACGCTGCCGCCCGGGGGTGGCCGGGCCACTCGGGAGACCACTCCTCGCGCCTCTGTTCCCTTGTCCGCGAGTCCGAGGCCATTACCTTGGTGCCTCCGAGCCGTAATACTTCTTCCAGAGAGAACCCATTCTCGGCTTCATCGTTATCCTCCTCGTTGTCCTCGTCCGGATCTTCTACCGCCTCCTCTCCGCGCCAGGGCCGCTTGGCATGGAACTCCAAAGGCTTCTTAGCGGCCGCCATGACCAGCAAAGCACGCGCAAACGGCCCACAGCCTCCTTCCGTTTGGCTGAGTGACGTACTTCTGGCAGGGGCGTGTCCTCTCCCGGAAATGGCTTCACTGCCCGCCCCAAGTTCGGCATGAGCGTCTTTGCGAGGGGCGGCTTGGGGCCGCTGTGTGCGGCGGCCCGCGCGGGTAAGTATTCGCCACGCCCGAGCTCCGGTTGTGCGGGAAACCGCCTGGGGCGCCTTCCTCAGTTGGGGGCCCCTGAGGCGCTCTGAGCTGCAGACGAGTCCGGCCTCAGAGCCGGAGTGGCTGTGTGGCCGTGGGCACTGTGCGTGCCTGCCGGCGCCTTGTGGCCGTACCGCGGTCAGGCCAGGAGTCCGCTGTCCGTGCTTCGGGCGCGCTTAAGAGTCAACTCAGCAGCTTCGAAAGCACTCAGGCTGCTTGCACTTGCAAATACTAAGATGTTTTCATGGTCCCGTTTACTTGTTTTTCGTAGTCATTCCCTGTCTTTGGAGAGGGAAATACTTCAGCTCCGGGAGAGAGCCGGCAGAAACCCAGGTGACACCAATGCTGCGGCATCTTATATACAAAATCAAGGCAACTGGCCCCATCACTGTGGCTGAGTACATGAAGGAGGTCTTGACCAACCCTGCCAAGGTACGGGTGGGGAGCCCGAGGACCAGGCCCGCTCCAACGGCTTTGCGAGGTGTGAGCCAGGAGGGGTGTGCGCGGAGAAGCCCGAGGGTCCTCAGCTCAGGCAGTGGTGCTGCCTTCTCCAGGGGAAGAGCCATCCCCCCGAAGACCTGGAGATAGCTAAATTAATGTCAGGTGGTTAGGGATGGATCAGGTCATGGCAGTGCCATGAAGAACGGAGAATAAATCCAAAGCTGTTCAGGAGGCAGTGTAACCGACTGAATTTAGGAAATGAGGGTCAGGATGTCTTTCCTATCTAGGCTGATGGTAGATGATAGCATCATTTCTCTGGGAAAGGGAAATGCAGAAGGACGAAGAGCAGCAGCTGCTTTAAGAGGGACGGGAAGGACAGAGTTCAGTCCGAAATAGGAATCTGAAGTGCAGATGGGACTCAGACGGAAATCTCCAGTCGGCATCTGGAAATATGAATTTAGTACCTGGAGAGTTGACTGTGTTGGGATCGCATCAGCAAGCAATGGAAGCATGTTCTGGGTTTTCTTCTTGGGAATGGCAGGTCCGGGTCTCTACTGTTTTAGGATCAAGCACTGCCCTTGTTCTGTATCCTGGATTTCCTTGTCTGCTCAGCAGAGCCACTTGGTAAAAGCCTGTGGTCCTTTTATTTTAGAATGTTTTACCTTTTGTTGGGTCGAAATATGGTATGTGTGGATTTCTGGGGTTTGGCTTGTTGCTGTTGATGGTGTCCAGAGGTTTAATAAAGATAGGGATCCTTTCATACCTACTTTATGACAAACATCTCTGATAGAGTGAAGGTCCACTTATCATTTATTCATTTATAGAGGCTTCAGAAGTGCCAGACACTATCTCAGGCAGTGGGAATACTGCAGTGGACAGTGAAACATGGCACTTATGTACTAGTGAGGAAATGAACTATAAACAAGGAAACAGGGGCACCTAGGTGGCTCAGTCCTTAAGCGTCTGCCTTCGGCTCAGGTCAGGATCCCAGAGTCCTGGAATCGAACCCCACATCTGGCTCCCTGCTTAGCGGGAAGCCTGCGTCTCCCTCTCCCACTCCCCCTGCTTGTGCTCTCTCTCTCTCTCGCAAATAAATAAAATCTTTAGGAAAAAAAAAGAAAACAAACAAGATAATTGTAGATTATCTGTAAGTGCTTCTGAAGGAAAGGAAAGAAAAAAAAAAAAGGTTGATGGGATTGAAAATAAGTAGTACAGTGGGAGTAGGGGTTGGAAAAGTTCTCTAGGTAGGTAGGTGGCAGGAAAGGCCAGATGGTTAAGCCAAGGCTTGAAGGATGGGGTTGGGCCAGCCTGGTAAAGAACTGGGAGTGAGTTTCCAGTAGAGGAAGGGGAAATAAAGCTCAAAAGTTTTTGAGCTGGGAAATGCCTTGGCACATACAGAGAAGAGAAGGGCACTTGTATGGCTGGAGGGTGGTGACTGGGGTGGCAGGTTAATGGTGAGGAAAGTAGTATGAGAAGTTTGGAGAGGAGCCAGTTCATTCAAGGCTTTCATGGAATTTAGATTTTTGTGTTAGTGCAAGGGGAAACCATCAGCAGGTGCATTTTATGCATCTTGGTGATGACATCCAGGTGGAGACAGTAAGTGAGCATTTGGCTGTAAGAGTCTGGAGTTCTTGGGACACCTGGGTGGCTCAGTCGGTCAAGCATCTGCCTTCAGCTCAGGTCATGATCCCAGGGTCCTGGGATCAAGTCACACATTGGGCTCCCTGCTCCGCGGGGAGCCTGCTTCTCCCTCTGCCCCTCCCCCTGCTTGTGCTCTCTCTCTCTCTGACAAATAAATAAAATCTTAAAAAAAAGTCTGGAGTTCTTGAGAAACATTGGATATACATATATAAATTTGTTCATCATCTGTGTATAGATGGTGTTTAAATCCAAGGAATCGGGGAGAGTATATTTAGAGAACAGGAGGTTACCCAGGATTAAGCCTTGAATTTAGAGTAGAGGCTTTTTTCCTTTTTTTTAAAATTTTTTCTTCTTTTCTTTTTTAAATCAGCCTTAATTTCTATTTTATTTAAAAATTGGTTTAACCTTTTTTTTCCTTAAAGATTCCATTTATTTATTTGACAGAGAGAGAGAGAGCGCACAAGCAGGGGGAGTGGCAGAGGGAGAGGGAGAAGCAGGTTCCCCACTGAGCAGGGAGCCCGACCCGGGGTTTGATCTTAGGACCCTGGGATCATGACCTGAGCCGCAGGCAGACACTTAACTGACTGAGCCACCCAGCTGTCCCTTTTTAAACTTTTTTTAAATTGAAGTACAGTTGATAGGATGTCAGCTTAGTTTCAGGTGTACAACATAGTGATTTTTGACAACTATATCTTATGCTAAACTCACCACGAGTAGCTACCATTTGAGAGTAGAGCTTCTTAACCTAGGAATCTTTGAATAGAAACCGGGGGGTTCTGAAGTTAGATGGGAATAAAAATTACACCTCTATTTGCATTAACTTTTTTCCCACCATTTTTATTGAGAAAGAATTGGCATACATCATTATGTAAGTTTAAGGCATATAGCATGATGGCTTGATTTGCATATAATGAAGTCTGAGGGTTTTTTAACATTTTTTTAAAAAAGGTTTTATTTATTCATTTGAGAGAGAGAGACAGAGACAGAGAGAGCACAAGCAGGGGGAGGCAGAGGGAGAGGGAAAAACAGACTCCCTGCAGAGCCGGAAGCCCAATGAGGGGCTCGATCCCAGGACCTGGAGATCATGACCTGAGCTGAAGTCAGATGCCTAACCATCTGAGCCACCCAGGTGCCCTCCCCCCGCTTTTTTTAAGATTTTATTTATTTGACAGAGCACGCACAAGCAGGGGGAGCTGCAGTGGGAGAGGGAGAAGTGGGCTCCCCACTGAGCAGGGAGAGCCTTACCTGAGCTGAAGGCAGACACTTAAACCACTAAGCCACCCAGGCGCCCCTTGATTTGCATATATTGTGAAATGATTACCTCAGTGGGTTCAGTTAACATCCATCTTTTCATATAGATACAATAAGAAGAAAAAAAAAGGGAAAAAATTTTTCTTGTGGTAAGAACTCAGGATTAACTAACTTTTCTGCATATCATACATCCATGTTAGCAGTAGTCATCGTGTTGTATATCACATCCATACTAGTTATTATATAACTGGAAGTTTTTTTTTTTTTGCCCAACTTACTCCAATTCTCCCTCCCCCTACCCTCCGCATCTGGTAATCAAAAGTCCAATATCTTTTTCTATGAGTTTTGGTTTTTTTATTTTATTTTATTTTAAAGATTTTATTTATCCATTAGAGAGAG